TCTCTCTCTCTCTCTCTCTCTCTCTCTCTCTCTCTCTCTCTCTCTCTCGTGCATTGATCTATCTGATTAGAATCCATTGTTCTTCTCACGAGATGAGAAGTCATATTTTAAAACGTATCGAAAATAGAGGACAATGTTTTGAATGAAAACATAGTTCGTCAAAATTACACTGAGAAAAAAATACTTGAAAATTTGTTTTTAAGATATAAATTCACAGAAATAAAACATTATATCCCGCAAATAAGTTTTCAAGTACTTTTCTTTCAATGTATGCCACCTGCATTGAAAAAAAATATTTAAAAATTTATTTGCGGAATATAAAGTTGATTTTTCTGTGAAATAAGCTTTATTTCTGTGAACAAACTTTATACTCCACAAATAAAATTTCAAGTATTCTTTTCTCTCGATATAATTAGATTTTCCTCTAAACAGAGAAGCGCTTTACGAATATTACACGATACAAATTCTTCTTCTCGAAAGAGAACTCTATCTTACAGCGTGTTTCCTTTGTCATTTATGAAACTCTTAAAAATATGTGGTTCGAAATAAAACACTCTGCACACACACATACATATACACACACATATACACACGCGTCGCAGCGAGAGGAGTAAGTGGATAAATGTAATAATTCCGCAAAAGACACGTCTTAGTTAGTATCAAAAGTACTGCCACACGATCGTTCTTTTCCAATCGGCATTCGTCGTCTAAGAACATCTCTACGATACCACGTATAAAAAGATGTTTACACAAATGTAAACGTACAGCGCGAATGGCCGGCGAATAAGAAAGGTGCGATATGCATTAACAAACACATGCTTCTGGTATTCGACTTTGGTAAGGATTACGCCTGAAATAGACTGGCCCGATGACGATCGGCGCGATGTCATTAGAATTATTATGTAGATTATTAATTAAACATCGGATAACTTAAAACTGGCTACGACTACGACGGCTTCGAATCTTCAATCTGGACGCCGACTTTCTCTCTCTCGCGATCAATGCTGTACGATAAATTTTATTCGTTCCTTAGATGGTAACTAACTAAATAGCTTAAGGTGATATCGACGGCTCGGGAAGTCGCACTGATGCATAAAGTACACGTCTCTTCGATGAGAAATGAAATGAAACTCGAGCGAACACCTTCACTCTCTCTTCCGTAAAAAATTTACACGAGTATTTCTCAATGATCATTAAAGTAAAAGTACCAATGTCTGGACGTCTCTCTCTAATCCTATTTTGTTAACTAAATCCTAAACATTTTTATTGTTTTAAATACACGATTATTTAAACTTTTAACATAAAAAAATATATATATATAAAATATATATATATATATATATATATATATATATATATATATATATATATATA